GGGATGTAACAGTTTTGTTAAGGGAACTAACCTGTACAGGGGCAGTGGGGAGTGGGTGATGCGTGGCACGGTCGCTGACGAAAATGAAGGAGCGAATTCGAGTGGTGAAGGCTGGGATTGAGACCAGTGTGCAGGGAAAACGTAATTTATCGGCGAAACATGTTTTGTGTTGAAGAGACCGTGACAAGAAGTGAGGACGAGCGCTCGGAGGGAGCATTCGGGGAGGTTAGCATGGGCTCTTTATAAAAGTGCAGATGGGCTAGTACAGATTTTCCGGAGCTCTGACTATCCAGTAGCGTGAGAGGAGGCCTGCACTCGGCGTAACATCCGAGCTGCACACTGATATTCTAGAAGATCTTTGTGGTCATGCGATAAGTCATAATAACGGCGATCGCTTGCCTGAGATATTGTTAAGACAGTTGTAATAATTGTTATTGATGCTGCTGTGTTGTTGCTGTATTGATGGTGATTTGGGATTTGTTTATATTTGTAATGATTATCTCTCCAGTGCTAACTTATAAACTCTGTATAACAAATGAGATGCAGCATGCTTTGTGTTTGCATAAATTATGGGCACGTCGATGACTTGCAGCTTTTGCAGTAAGCTTTTTTCTGGAGCACATCGAATATTTGCTGGCCAATTTAACGTGTTATGCAGTTTTCCTGCAATAGCGGCACTTGATATTTTCGCTGTCCCCTGTTGTGCGGAAGTGAAACGTGAAGAGCACACTCAGTAAGTTAGCAATGACCCAACGATCCATGAAATGACACATGCGAGGAGATTCAGTAGGTTGCAGTATATCACCGCTGGAATTACCTTCTTCAGACTTGGCCTGAGCTATTTCATTAGGAGAATTATGCCGAGGCGGGGGAGTTGGGACGAGAATGGGAGCGATTGGATGTGGGGTGGATGGATGTTCAGTCGATGTCGAATGCGAGTGTATTAATTCGGGGGAAAAACCCTTTCCATGGGTACGTGAATGAAAGGAACACAAAAGCGAGCGATTTGTCAGATGCTCGGGCGATATGAAGGGCCATAAGATCTAATCAAAGTATATTGGTAAGGCGAGGTGACAAAATGGAGGAGGAGAAGGGGAGGGGTAGTTGTTTTATGTATATAGTGGTGCGGTATATTAGGGAGCAGTCCGGTGTCTCCCAGTTGAAGTTCGAGCGGGGTGAAATTTTGTCTTACAAGAAAAACTTGTTGCTTAGGTTTCTTTGGTTGTTTTTGCTCGATTC